TACAAGCAATTTTGAAGAATTGATTGGATCGATTTATCTTTCATACCCAATTTGATTGCTGCTACACCATATTGAGTTTGAGGGAGGATATTGAAGATATGGAAGGAATAATCTCTATAATATTTTTCCAATAGTGTAGGATTATTTTCTTTAATATTTGATTGTATAATTATTATGCAATCTTTCCTTTTATAGTTATTTATAGTCCTATAAATAAAGTCTTTTACTTTGTAATAGAAATAAATTTATTACATACAATTTATAATATTCTTCACAGAGCTAGTCCTTAGTATTTAGTGCATGTTTGATACATACACAGGAGGGGACAATATAATGAACAATATTCGAATTCTTTTTCCTGCATACTGTCCAATGCTTTACAGTCCATCCTACTGAGCAAACCATTGCTTCCTAGTTCAGTTCACAACTTCATATATTACACCTATTACAGATTAAGTATAGTTGCTGCTAAAGCTAAATAAAGATCATGCAGAACAATGGTATTTTCTTGTGCAGCACTGAGGACCCAAAAACATCTGGAAGGACATTTGGTTCATTTAATTTGTTAGGTTTGCAAAAGTATACCTGCACACATTGTTGTAGTGGATGATCTAAACTAATAAGAAGAAAAGCGGATATGGCATATTTTATTGTGCCGAAGTACTCATATTTGTGCTATTCAATTTTTTGTCAAGCAGAGGCCGAAGAGAGTACCCAACTGAAATTCACACCAACATCAAGTTTTGCTATACAAAAATAGGGTGTTGCTTGGCTGGTAATTTAAAAATTTTCTTGCACAATGCATAAGATTGTCCAAGCGAGAACACATAGTTAAATTCTTGGTATTTCTATTTTAGTTTTCTTTCCATTTTTGAGAATATTCATTTTGATAGGAGCAAAAGGTTGATCTTCAGTTGGTATTTCTTTTTCAGTTATGGGATTGTAGGCAATAGAATTTTACAATTAATATTATCTGGAATGGAGATATTTTTGTGTATATGACAATATTCATTCCTCTTGGACCTCCTCTGCTACACCCTGATCATTTAACTTGGGGTCATGAATTGCGAGTTAATATTAAAAACATTTTTTTCAGGGTTCACCGGAGCACTCCAAACTTTTGATGCCATTTAGATCATTTGATAATCCAACTCAAAGAGAGGCTTTTCAGACTCCTGTTAGGAGTAACAGCGTGCTTTCAGCCTTCTTTGTCAAGCAGAAGATACAAAAACAAAAACAGAAGACTGGTGCATAAAACCTTGTGCAAACAAGCAAAATACATTTTCTACCACAAATTTTCTTCAACGTTGAAGCAAAATTGCCCATAATTTATTGCGTGTTCTTCTCGACTTGGCTCCACTGATGATCAACTATTAAAAGGTTCGGTATCAGATCATATCATGCCATCTAATCATTCTGACTTATGGATCAATAACAAGCTGGAAGTGTATATTAGTAGCTAGGAAAGATGTCAATGATTGTCTTGTGCAGAATATTGTTCAATTCCGTATGGTTTATGGTACCTTGGATTCATTGGATGTAGTGGCATAGTTATATCATTTTGTGATCACAAATAATTTGCGTCTTCAAATGGAAAATGACCTGATTATTGTTTTGTTAGTCTCTGGTTAGATGAGCAGTACATAGATAAAAGGGCAAATTGCATTATTCAGTTCTTTGACTGATGAAGATGTCTCGACTTTGTCATTATGCCTTGTAAGACTTTCGTTTTAACTTGGACTAGATCGGCCAGTTCAACTTCAAAACTTAAAATCGGTCCAGTTATCGGCAAAAAACTGGAAAAATAGATCCCATGAAAGTAACGTAAGAACTGGACATGCTCAAAATCAACCAGGTTCACTCCAAAACCAGTAGGCTCGAGCCAATTTATATGTTATATCACTATATGAGTTAGATTTATTATACTAAAAGCCAAACTTGTAACCCTTCAACAATTGAGTTGCGGAGAGGCTTGAAGTTTAATGTTTTGCCTATTCTGATATTTTAATGAACAATAAAGCTGCACGTACAGGAATTTTTAACATAGGTTGAACACGTCAGCACCTTATTAGCCTTTTTTTCTTCCTTCCAATGCTAACTTGCCAAGTGTATTTCTTGTTAAAATTCTGTAAAATCTTCCTGTATCATAGCATTGTTCTTTAATGAATTACATACTGTAAAAGTTTAATCAGTAGTAGAAAGATTTGAATAATTAATATATTATCTCTAAGAGATAGTAAAGTGTTTATTTTAAAATGGAAAAACTACAATATATTGAGGGTCAAGTCTTATTTGTATAAGCCATAAAGGAATTCCCTTCGCTCTATGCTAAACATTATGACATGTTTGATACGTTAAACTAAACATGATTAGAATGAAGAATTAATAAATTTTGTGTCCCTTTTCTAATCTTATACATTATTGTCCAGTCAAGCATATGAAACATGTCTTTTGAGTCGATATTTGAATAACTTAGACACTGCCTTTGACTGCAGCACTGTATCCACTCTGTATATCATTGTACCTATCCCAAAGCATAATCCCTCCATACTTTGAAGACCCTTTAGCAAATGGCAGAACTTCATTTATCAGAACCTGTTTCAGAACATAACCATTTCCAGCAGCAGCCTTTGAGGCAGGAAGTCCAATGTAAATCTTTTTAGCAGGTATTGAGGATGTCCATTGATTCCAAGAATTCTTGAACTTGTTTGGGTCACTGCTGATGTATTCACATTGTGGATTGTTATAAAACTGTACCCAAACGTAATCGAATAACCCAGTTTTCAGTGCATTTCCTAGCCATTGATCCGGGAACGGGCATTGCGGTGCTGCTGTTAGGTACACTTTCTTGCCCTTTGCGCCATACTCGTATAGCTTTCCGGCGAGGTCTGAATAATGATCTTGGCCAGCTTCAATGTCAAAATCTATACCTGTAGAGAATAATAGATGGAGCATATAGTTATTGGCCTGAAATTCGATATTATTCGAAAAATATTAAAATTATATATTACCATCCAATACAGCATCACCAATTGGCCTGAAATTCGATCTTCCCCCAAGAAAATTGTTCCACTAATAATCCGCCACTTGGCTTGCATCATCTGCAGATGACAACGAGTAGCTCCCAGCGCCGCCACCAATTGAGAGCATGACTCTAACTCCTTGACTCTGACACTGCTTAATGCTATTGCTTAGTTTCTGGCAGCCACCCGATGGTGGATCGCAGTGGCCTGCTAAATTTAGCTGAGGTTTTCAGCCATTGCCAAAATTAGAGAGAAATGCTATGTTTACAATTTGGTATAGTCCGGAGCCACATGTGTCTCTCAGCGTGCCTTCTTTGTTTTGGCCCCAATATACAACTATTCCGGCAGCTTCTATATAAAATATTAGGCCAAGCAATATTGCAGAAGATAAAAATGGTGAATGTCGAAGTTTTATCCTCATGGTTTTTCAGTTGAATAGACGTTATATACGATAGTGGAAGATACACTGAGTAATCATATTTATAGATAGGGTCGGGGTCGGGGTCGGGGTCGGGATCGATATCGAGGCAGTTGGTTACTAATATTTTTGATATTACATTCTTGTCTATGTTTTTCATTTAATTGGTCATCCAACTTTAATTCGTTATAAGTTGGTGAACGTTGAATTGTATTTTTATTTTGATCAAGTTAAGTCGGTCCAATTACGTAATTTTGGTAAAAGAAAATGACGTGACACTCCATGTGACATATTAGGCAGAAGTAAACATATATCATCATAGTTGAAATTATCGTAAAGAGAAAAAAGGTTTGACCAATTCAAAAGTATGGCATATAGGTGTTATAATAAAGAAACATCGAAACACGAACCTAAATCTTTCATGTGTTGCGTTGAAACTAATTTTGTGATGGCAAGAGGTTCACATATTTGGACTACTCCATGTCTATTTGATTGTACTAAATATATTTGAATTGTAACTCTGTTATTATATGGAATTACTTGATTTAAATCATCATGTATTAGAGATCGCTAAATTTGTTTATTCGTTTTTACATTGAACGACGTGTCAATTCAGGGTATTGTTTTGTGCACGTTCTTTTTGTATTATAGTTGTAAACTTTTCAAAATTAATCTGTTCAAATAAAATTCATGCATAACTTGAAAGAAATCGCAGATCAATATAGGAAAATGAAATTAAAATATTAACTCTACAATCATAACAAGAAAAAACATATATTCTCTAACTTCTCTTTTTCAATGATGAGAATACAAAATTGGAATTATAAGTGTGGAATTTTAAATTATCCTTAGTAATTGCATGCTGATTTTTCACGGTACTAATAATTAGACTCCACAACTTAATAACTTATGTGACAGGCCAAACAATATTGCAGAAGACTGACTTGAGCACACAATAATGTAACGTAGCTTGCTGAAGTGGCTCAACAAAAAAACAAAAAAATGTTTCACCAAGTGTGTCATCGTGCACACGACACAAAACAGTGTGTGAGCGAAGTTCGAGCGATGAATTCACTGGTCCATTTTGCGCACACGAAGGACCAAGTCCATAGAGTGTCATAAGCATGGTAAGGCTATGTGACAGGGCCTGCATTTCAAATTTCGGGTCATAAAATTCATCTCCAAAGAAGGAAGAAGATGCTACCAGCATTTCTAAGCTCGGGTTATGGGATTTGTCTTCAGAATTTCATTCTTTTCTATTTTCTTTCCCAAGTCCTAGTAATGAATACCCAATTTAATATGTATTTGTATAAGACGAGGAATGGCTAGCTAGTAACACCCGCGATAAAATTCATGGTTCAAGTTGAAGATCGAGATATACTTCTACCATATTTGTAAACTCCTTCGTGATTGAATGCATCTTTTTATGGTATAATGCATATAGAGATATTTTGAGTTAGCATAAACAGATAAAATTCATTTTACTCGAGATTGATTATTAACTAAAATTGAGAAATTCGGTTAGCAACATGAATGAAATATTGTAACGATTCAAATTTAAAACTGATTCTTTTATAACACATTCTCATCTTGATGGATAAAAACAGTAATCATTATTAAAAATTGAAAATAAAACTCGAATTTAACCATCCCTAGACTATATATTATAAGGAAAATGTTGTTTTACCAGGTCTGGTAAAAGCCTGGTAAAACAGCTCTTCTCACATGAGGTGGGTCCTCCTCATTAAAAAAACCCCTCCAAAATGTTTTATCACCCACCCCCCATCACTCAACTACTCTATCAGATCTTGTACCGATCTGGGATTGGTAGAGTAGCACTGCTCATATTATAATTACTGTTGTTGTTTTCATAAAATAATAAACATGTGAGAAATGTACCAATATCGTCTTTTTTTTTATATTCAGGTATCCACCTTCGAGAACTAATCCTGGGGTCTACACCTGGGCCCCTCAAGACGCAGATCAGGTAAATCGCGGGATCTGCTTCAAACTAGTCAGGGTCCAAGAGCCCCCTCCACTGATCTGCCAAAGTGCCAAGCGAGTCAACACATGTTGCACTTTGCTTTCCATGAGAACTCCTACCTTCCAGGATAAATCCTGTCTTCCAGGAGAGAGCCTACCGCCAAGAGCCCCATGAATCGAACTCAATAGATGCCATTTGTGTAGTTTAAAGAAAAAGAAAATGGAGATAGTCGTTGTCAGCATCGATTGCTTAGAACATGTGGAGCCATTGAAAGAACCCAACTTTTGTTTGTGCAAATCTACACAGTGAGTAAATTTGACGTGGTGAATCTCACAAGACCCCACAAATCACAACTACCAACACAAATGTCACCCTAACATGTCACTAGACTAAGAAAAATGAGAATTAACGATCATGCACCGAATTTAATTTT